AACGAAAAAAAAGGAAACATACAGAAAAAGAGCGCGGTAAAAATGCTACATGAGTAACGCGACTATAACCGGTAGCCAAGTTATACGATGTAGTCCTTTCTTATTATAATATCTCGCGACCGTGTGTCCGTGTTCTAAGATGTTATCGCGCGAGGATGACCGCGAGATGTAATTCAGACGCAGAAATGCGCTGTCGCACGTAAGGCCTTAGATAAGGCGTACAATAGAGACGCGAAACTTATTCGACGCGAGTAAGACAAAGAACGTGACAACACACTGTCGCGGTCCGACGGTCACAGATTTTCGGCAATATTAATAATTTTTTAAAAACGATGTTCGGAAAAATACAAAGACATGATATTCAATATTTCAGAATCACACGCGCTAAGAGACTATAACGAACAGACGAGATTGGCGCAAACAACAACAAAAAAATGAAAACAAGACATACACGAATGACGGGCAAAAATAAGCCCGGATTGTTGCGACCGCGACTGATCGGGACGAGATCAGCGGCAAATAGAGACAATTATTCTTATCATTGACCAACGCAAACCGCAATACACTACATTTTCGGCAACATATCGCGCGATATCGAACTCGCGGAGTAGCCCGTCGAGATTCGATTCACGAACAATAGGAGAGACTGGGGTTGATTGTGACACGGGTAAAAAGTTACAACCTTTGATTAGTGATGAAAATTAAGTGCTACATTAAAGCTAAAAAGAGACAAACGCGACAATTGTCACGCGTCACACGCGTCAGTAACGTCATCGTTGTTGTAATTATTTTTCATCGCTAATTTAACACGTTCACGCCGGGGCGAAAATCTACGTTTTTTCGCGTGAGGCGGGACTGTCTTATCTCCTTACGCTTCGTGGGGCGGGGCAACACTGTTGCGAGTTCGAACGCGCTTAATGCGAGATCATAGATATAAATAAATAATTGTTATCAATTTAAAATATTGAATGTTAATGTTTATAATACTCAATTTTTATATATAATGTTGAGAAAAAATAAAATCAACTTATTTTTTTAACGACTAATTTTCTGAAAACAAGTGACCCACCGGTGGGTCACGCCGCCCCACGGAACAGTCAGGTGTGACCCACCGGTGGGTCACGCCGGCGTGAACGTGTTAAGGTTGTAACTTTTTACCCGTGTCACAACCAGCCCCAGTTTCCCCTATAAGTCGCGAGAGATGCGGAAGAAAACCTACCGCACTTACGCTTGCCGGCGACTCTCCACAAATCGGTAACCATTCTGCTCTCCCTTTTGAGATCGTCTTAGCAGGTCCTTCTCGGATGTTGTTCGGCACACAGTCTTACACTCCGGCATCACGACATACGTGAGAAACGATGAACTCGCGGGGTTGACGGTACGCGCAACAATGAAGATTCGTATCCTTCGGCAATTGCTCTACAGAGCTGTTCTTCCTGCTACGTAACTGAGCCAATCGTATTCTTTCTTTCGTGGTGCTGCGATTGACGGCGGCCACGTGTTCCTCGGCGTAATAGCGACTCGGCCGTATCAGGCTCGTTTCCATCTTGATCATTCAATGAGATGAGCTTGTTGAGGCTCATCTCTCAGCATCATCGAGCCTGTCACTCCGTTGGAAGCTTCGATTACGATTTTCTAGAGATCGGAGTGCGCTTCTCCTACTTTTGGAGTCCGACGTCAAAATTTCTGCCGAATATCCTAGGCCGGTAACGCCTCACGCGCCCTGGACCTCGCGTTATCTCTATCTTCTCTCTTTCTCGCTCTTCTCTACCCGCCGGTCACGTACAGTGTGTTGCTCTCTTCACGCTGAAAATAAACTTACAAAATAGCCGCCGAGCGGCATATCGCAATACGCAAAAATATCGCAAACCCAAAGTAAGCGCATTCGCCTGCGTTACCCAATCTAATGAGCTGCTCTCCCTCAAATAGTGGGGAAACGCGAGCTCACCGCCTCCCGTGCCGGCCGGAAATGCATCCTTGTGACGGACACAAAAAGTGTCGCGTCACAACATGCACGACATTGTAGAAAATCCATTTTCAGTCCACATTTAATTGGTTGCTAAAGTGGTTACACAAATAGTCTTCCGGAGTCTTTTCCAGCGCAGTCTTTTGTGATTGTGTACTATTGTCCGACTCGAGGTTAATGAATAAACTTCACTAAAATACAAGATATTTATTGACTAAAGTAATTATGAAATACAGTTTTATTTGCAAGAAAGAGTGCTGTTTAAGATTATATGTGTATGTGGAACTAAATAAATAAAAATTAGAGACTTACTGTCTTTTCTTCAGATCACAGGAAATAACAAAAAAGCACTATTAACAAACATTTATTTTCTCTACTGGCACACAAAGGATTTGACGCGGTCGGGGTAGTGTGACATAGTTACAAGAACCAACTGCTTAAGTGCGGTACTACACGGAAAAAAAAGTTTTGCTATTATATAGTCAGCAAAAAAAATGGTTGATCCTACGAAATTTTTTGTTTCATCAACAAAATATTTTGTTGGCAAAACAAAAATTTTACTAAACTTAACAAATGTTTTTTTGCTGGCCGTATAGTAACTAATTTCTTGCTATTTTAGCAAATCTTTTTTTTCCGTGTAAGAAAAAGAATTATGGCTGATTATTTAAATAATCCAGAGCGTATACGACCGCCCGTCGCGCACAATTTCCCCACTTTCCCCTAAGTTTCGAACTTTTAAAATCGCTCTATTCTAAAATTACGAAAATGTGACTTATCAAGTTCTTACCCTGTGGTCTTCATATAGTAACGTCACAGATTGTGTATTGGATTCGCGAAGTCGTTCTTTCTTACGCATTTTTGCGGAAGAACATCGACTGCAGGCAAAATATATATATAAGGCTAGTCCGAGTCAATTTTCTAGCCAATCGCGAACGATCGAGCACACGGAGCATGTAACGGCGATTTATCGTTCCGCGAGTAATACGTTGCATATGGCGGGAAGACGGACGTTTCACACACGAACACGCGAGAAAAACGCGATAAAATAACCATCGCCAGCGGAGATGATAGTTTTTTTCTTTTGTTTTTCGCTCGCGTGTTCTTAACACACACCCACGTCCTGTGTCCCAGAAATACGCGGATTTCTGCGGATGCGAGAAGAAAACTCGCACGAGATAAAAATGATAGTGTTGTGCGCGTTATTTTCAGTATCAAGGTAGTGTTTCGCGTCGCCGCATACATAAATAATAGTGTCAGCGGCCGATTACGATTGAATTGAATAGAGGCAGGCGCGATGCAACCCACGCGCTGCACTCAGCGTGGCAGTCACGCGCAGGACAAATCATCTAACTCCGAGTTCTAACTTAATTCCGGATAGAGAGAAAGAGAGATTAAACGTGTTACGTGTACCGGCAATTCCGTAACTTTCAACATTCTTGATACTGATATAAGTCGAGTTAGTTTGGATCTTTCTTATACGAGTTGATTAGCGGTTCGTTAGCGGCTCTTCCGTGAGAATCGATATAATTGATATAATCTTTCATTTTTTTTTTAAATATTTTAACACATCTGATCTTTTTCCGTTGCAAAATATTTGGCGAAATAAATTGATTGACAATTGAGTTTTTTTGAGAATAATTCATGATTTAGTTAAAAATATTACTGCACGACTTAATAATTGCAAAAAAATGTCATCATCAAAGTAGATAAATGTTTTAGTTTCATTATTTTGTTTTAGATGTTTTTTACTTGCATTTTTCGCATAAAACTCAATTTAAAAAAATATCGATGATTTTTTAAATGAAAAAACAATATTACCTCGCATTGTGTTCCTAGTAACACAGTGACTCGTTTAGCTCGGGTCGTTCTTTCTCACTCATTACGCATAAAATGAACAATTGTTGTTGTGACGAACGAGCGAAAAATGAACGCGACTTGCAGCAAACGCGAACTTTTGCACCTATAACGGTTTGCAGAGTGAACAGTTACAGTCGCGTTCCACGAGAGGAACCGTTGTTAAAAGCGGTAATTTATTAACAATGCCCGTAAATTAGCATTATAAACCTGACGACGAAGATTCTTTCACGCGACGCTACGCGATCCGTGAAATTCCGTCGTGATAATCGAAACAACACGGCTGAGTAGCTTTGCGATGTCGACTAATTAAAGCGATCGGCGTTTCTTTGATGACTTCAATAAGTATCGCTGATTTTTTATAGATTGCGATCGTTTCATCTTTTCTGACAAGTACAATCGCGGCGAAGAACACGTAGTCTGATGGGAAAACCTTTTTTATGTTGGAGAACATTGCTATGATGTTATGTTCCACGTACACGATTGAATGTTTCGATCGTACATACATTCGGCAGCTTGCACATAACATTTTTCCCTCTCCCTCCTCTTTTTCTCTCTCTCTCTTTCAATTTTCGAGCGAATGCACGTAGCGAATTTCCACGATAACGAATGTTAGCGGGAAATGTGTTTCGTAATCGAAACTGTGTCCAAAATTTTCGATATAAAACAATCGAAAATAGAAATAATTGTGTTGTGTTGCGTATAAAAAATTTTTTCAAAAATTAATATTTAGCGCAATGCGCGCGATCGTATTTAATCAAACGCGATATCGTTATAAACCTGTCGTACAAAACCTCCGCTCGATCATTTGCAGCAAAACGATCCGCATAGAGAAAGAAAAATAAATCACGCGACGAGGTCAATCATGAATCAGCGGACGCGTTTCTGAAACCTGTTCTTTCTAATCTCTGCCTAACATCCGTTTCGTGATAATCGGTAGCGCACCGCATGCCTCTGCCACGCGTTTCTTGTTCTCTTCCGTTCGTCTTGAACGTCATGCTGAACGTTTGCGGAAGGTGAACGCACGATGGCATTTCACCGCGGCGGTTGTGCGCAATTGACAAACCGCGTAAGTACGTCTGTTTGACGGGCGTTGCATGAATGCTACAAAGTATGAAGGGTCATTGCACTCACCAGTCGCAGCCTCCGCTAACCGCACCGTGTGTCTCGTTTCCCGCAGCTCTCCTGGCGTTTGGCCGGCATGGTGCAGACATCGAGGCGCCTTGAGGCCCTCAAGATCCTGAACGGCGCGGCCGCGGTGTCGCAGACGGCGACGCCGGAGCTTGAGGAATGTATCAAACGACAGCTGGCGATTTCTGGCGCGCAGACCGGTTCCCGCGAGGTCGCCGAGCAGGTGGTCAACCAGCTGGAGAGGACACTGTACGACTTTCCGTGTCTACGTGGCTGCCCCGAGGTCAAGAGTTACGCCACCGCGTGCTCCACTTTAGCCTGGGCGTGTCTCGCGCGATCCACGCCGCTGGTGCTCGATGTTGCACAGAGTCTCGAGTTCCGCCGGGAGATCCATGTGAGGCATCACGCGTCACCGAATCCGCACGGGACCAGAATCCAATCGGTCCTGTGGCCAGGACTTCGGGAGGGCTGTCAAGGACCCTGCCTTCACAGAGCCGTCGTGCTGACCTGCTAAAGCACGCGGTTTTTCTGTAAGAAAATTTCAGAGGGACTGTTTTATTTAATTTTTATTCGGTTGTTTTAATTTGAGGTTGAAACTTCAATTTTACGGTTTTTTTTTCATTAAAAAAAAATCTTTTACACGAATGTGTAAGAATATTTAAAAAAGACCCCCGAGAATTAATAGGAAAAACAAAGTACAGTACAATAATTTTTTTATAAGCTCAATTAATATAAAAATAGTTTAAAAAATATAAAATATAAAATAATTTAAAGAATAATTACCACAGTACGAATATAATTTTTGTTTCGGAAGATATCTTACTTCGCTGGATTATCTCGGGCGGAATCTCGCAAAATCATGAAAATAATTTAAATTTTGCGCAACAAAAAAAAAATAAATGGACGGAGTGCGAATTGGATGCGAAATGGTTGACAGAGAAAATCTCGTATGCACGAGATGCACCGCAACGAGATGCTCCAATTTCGTTCGTGCTAACGATATGCGTTCTACGCCGTTGACACTCGATACCACAAACCGGACAACTTTAAATTTTCAGAAACGTATCTGATGCTCGTGGCTTTGCAGAATCGAGAATTCTAGGGTAGTATGACACAGTGCGTTTGTGCAATCCCTACATATTCCTCTGCATTCTTGTTTATGCGGGTGTTATCTGACGTTCGCGGAAAAAAAAATCGATATGAGCGAATGACGGCTGACATATAAAGAGCGATGAATGTCGAAAACTCACGTGGCGCCGAGAACAATACCTACACTAAGAGTAAATGATAGCCGGAACAATCAAATGTAAAAAATGTGTATGCACATATTTAAAAAGTATTATTGTTATAAAAAAGAGAGAAAAAGAGAAAATTGTGATGAAAAAAGTTTTTTCTCATATTTTTACAGGAAAAAATTCTGGTCTTTTGAGTTACGTGAGTTTTGACGCGAGTGTTCCATTTAAATTACGTAATTTATCGATTTCGAGCTTCTTAAAAAAAAAGACATTTAATCTGATTATAAACTACTTATCAAGAAGCACGATAGTGCCTCGCGCCAAGTTCACGCGCAACAAAGTGGCGCACGAACTGCGCGAGGTAGGATTCTCTCGAAGCCTATAAAATTAGCACTTATAGTTGTACAGTCTATAATATATAAGTTAGAATTAAACACTACAGATTGTAAGATATAGAATTACAATAGAAACAAATTATACCGGAAACAAATAATAATAATAATAATAATAAGATGAGAGCGGGTGGGGCTATTAAAGTCCCTTTGTGTGACCCTAGATTTATAAGATCTTCTGTGACTCCCGGCTATAGTTGCCTATCGGCCTATCTGCTTTTCGGTCCGGCATTTTCTGGCAGGCTACACAAGTGGCCGATCTTGAGATATTTTTCAGGTCCTCGGGCTCTGCAAACATGCGGCCCAGGGATCTGAACCTTTTAAGCACTACCAGAAACAAATAGAAACAATTAAATCGTTTACGCAAACATTAATGCTCGAAAATATACACAGATTAACATTTCGTTATTTTTTTTATATAAACTAAGAGATTAGGCATATAAGTTTTGTTTTAAATTACTAACAATTGACATAATATATAATCGCGTTATTTCATTAATTAATAAGTTTTTTTTATTTTGCGATTATATTATACGAAAGATTAATTTTGTATTTTTAATCATTATCATGCATTAATTCATATTTATACATATATATATGTTAAAATTATCTATATATATATATTGGTGAAATAAAAAGCATTCGTATAAAACGAATCACATATTATATCATCCTACCCTAAAATTAATTATAAGAAAACTGCGCTAATTAAGGGAGATTAACATCAAGACATAAATTTAAATCAGACGCAATTATCAAAGCACAGCAAACGCGTCAGAGAGCAAATAAGTCTTATTACCGAATACATAGCGTAATTGGGATAAGAATTATTCTCTGAGAGAACTTCTAATATATAACAGGCGTTAAGCTTGATAAACACTTTCCACGTTTTACCATTTATAGCAATATGTAAATAAATGTCTTTCTTTTTATTTGTATCTGTATATTATTATTAGCGTGTCAGAAATTAATATCTTTAATCAAGCAAATACATATCTTTTATATAAAATTTTCTATTCAAATGTCGATAATTTTTTTAACAGAACAATGTTTTGACGTGTCGAGATTTTTACACAAATTAGAAATGTTATGAGATCGGACAAATGTCAACATATATAAAATACAACAGCATTTAAACCAGAGTCAGATGAATTAGTCCCGTCCGACTAAATCTGCTAACTACGAAACATGATTAATTCACGACAGTTTGTCCTTTGAGTTAGTAGTATCAACTTAACTAGGCCATCCGTCCGACCTGAGATACGTGTCTATCTCTCTCTCTCTCTGCTGTTGTTGATTTAATGCCACATTTCTGGAATGCGATCAAAGCAACGAGTAGAGGAGAGATATGAGATTACGGCTCTATTCGCTTAAAATCTCTCGGGAATTCACGAGTCGACTTTTGCATCCAGGCCGAAGTCAATTGTATTTTCATGCGCGGACGCGCACTTTTGTTGTATCCTTTCTCTCTTTAGTATCATCCGCGAAAGTTTCTTTTTGATCTCAACTTTTATATGTAAACCGCTTTGTAGTGAAAGTGTACGCTCCGCGTTGCATCTATAAGAGATATATATATATAGAAGAGAGACACGTTTTATTCTACGTCAATAATTTACATTTGCAGACTTAGCGGACGGACGCGCAAACAAAATTAACAATTTTAGACACAAATTTGCACAATAAAGTTTAGGTTACATAAATTTTTTACGCATATTTTGTTTAGGTTTAGAATCTTTTACATAAAGAACTTTTTTTTCTCTCTCTCTCTCTCTTTACAAAATTTTTACATTGATAGGAAGGAATTTTACATTGGAGAATGTGTGGATATGCAAGTCTGGTAAAATAATCGATAAGCTTTCATTTTTGACAAATTTATTATATAAATCTCAGGTTTCTATGTACACTCTTGGATATACTTCCAAAAACTTCTACTAATCGAACAAGTATAAAAGTTATGTCCTAGTAATTATTCGTTTAGTTCTTGAATAGTTATTAATTTTAATGCGAAGGGTTGTCATGGCGAGCAAACCGTCATCGCGGCAAGCAAACGCCGGCTTTCCCCGCGAGACATTAAATGTACACACCAGCAATTAATAACCACTCACCCTACAGACCTAAACGAATAGATCGACTGACATTGGAAAATTACTTTGGTCGATTTGTCTTAATCGTTTCTAATTCTCGACGGAAGATATATCTAACTTGATACATATGGTACGCATATTTCAACAAAGATCTGATATAAAGGCAATGTTGTAATAAACCCCCCTTCTTCTAACAAATGACACGAAGATGTACACTACATGTACACCTCTATGGCAGATAAAATGAAAATCCGCGAATCTTGAATGTACAAATTGTTCGAGAGATAAAAAAATTTGCATACGAAGTGTGTGAGATCCTTTTAGATACCGTACATGTTTTCACGTCATTTCGAGAGTTTGGCTCTTAATTAAAAAAAAAGATACACTGTACATCAATACAGTCTCGTATCCGCATCTTACATATTTGTAACACAGTTTTGTATAACATTTATTTGGACATTTATTCGCTTTGATAAAAATGAGTATTCTTGTTTCGGATAAAGTTGCGAAGATCATCCTGTCTTCTTAAAAATACAAAATCCCCCATTTACGTTGATTAAGAAAGAGATTACAATATTACGCGCGCGTGTAACATTTCATGTAACTTTTGTGTAACTTGTAACATCGCAATAGCAATCAATGACAATCATAAATCTTACGAGCTACTTTAATTTTTAATAATACCCAACAAGAATATTATTTTATTCGAGCGAAACACAGATTTGTAAAAAGCCACTGGCTGATTTGGTTGTAAATTTGAGAGCGCAACATTGCAAACTTGTTTCACCATCAACAATATTATCTCTCAAACTATAGAAAAATAATTTATTCAATATTTATTCAATTCATATTAAATTTTTACGAATTATTTGTTCGATTCGAAATATTTTGCGCTGCGTACAACAACACAACATATATTTGTGTGAGCCCTCGAAGTGGGCTCTCGTCAATTAACACAGATTATTGAAATATAAATATTGTACTTCATTAAACAACTAAAAAATGCGGAGGGATATGTCTTTTCATAAGTAGTACATAACATATTGCATAAGTGTGTCTATTGTATATATAGGTGAAACATAAAATTTCTCCCAAAAAAATAGTATCTTAACCGTGTGTATAATCCGCAGAAGTAACATAGGCAAGAAAATATCATCAAGTAAATATTTTGTCAAATTAATATATATATATGTATATATATATATATATATATATCTCTCTCTAGAGTTGCATTCTATAAACTATTTCCAGAGGTTTAGAGTAAAACTTATTCATTTATTACTTACTGGGTTAGTTTCTACCTAAGGAATTACATCAAAGATAAATATCAAATTACGTGAGACGTAATTTACATGTACCGAAATTAAATACATCATTACATTTCTGTACATGCGGAGAAAATGCTTAATAATTATTCTATCTTTCACACAGTTTCTTCAAAGTGAACTCAAATCTCTTTTGTAAAATAGTCATGTTTCAAAAGTCTCAAAAACTTGTACTCTTTCTTTTTTGTCATTACAGTTTACATTTTTCTTCGCAAATGATAATTCGAAGTCAGTGGGCAATTCGATGAAGTATAATACGTTAGAGTTTTGAGCAATTGATGCGGTAGGAATAGTACTGAATTATTAATTTAATTATAGAGCAGATGCGAACGTATATTTTAAATGTCTTGGAAAAAGAATCTTGAAAAAGTTACACGAAAAATAACCCGCGGATCTGATCGGAAAAATTTCAGAAACATCAGAAACCAAATATTCGTTAGCTTCTAAATCGTAAAAAAAAAAAAGTTGCTCACTGTCAACAAAAGTGACATTAATGTTTCGAGAAGCGCGCTCAATCTCTTTTCTGTCATTTTATGGGAAATATAAAACTTTTCTCTTTTATATATATATATATATATGATAACAAATGATTTTATCATGGCAAATTTACATGATGACACACCACTTCTTTGTACTCTCAGTCGACTCGGCCTTTATTGTGTCGTCATCATCCCTTATACCGCTAATGTTTAATCGAGTGGATGTAAATTTGTAAGGATTTGTGGCTTTTGGTGTTGATACCTGCATTCTACTAAAGCCTTTCAAAAAACCTAGGGATGTATTTAACAAGCCGCTCTCGTTGGCTGTTTTCGGCTTTTTGCTGGATTCCCATTCCGCTGTTTCGATCTTACGTTTCCTTTCCAAGGGGCTACCGTTTGTAGGGAACGTTTTTGATAGCACGTCGCTGTTGTAATGCAAGACCTTAGATTCCGCTCCCTCATCGTGTGCTATCGACATGGTCGACGTGTTGACGAAGAGAGAGCTATTCGGTGATATCCTTCTCTCGCGCAACGTCACGTGGCGCATTCTGTTGATCGAGTGTCTTCCGGAGATGTTTCTAAGTGTTTTTCCGAACGATAAGTCCTTCGACTGTAGACTCGGCGTGTCTTCCGTATTGCTCACCTCAAAGAGCTTCGAGTTATCTTTCAGACAATCGTTGAGTCTAATTTGCACGTCTTTCAGCATTATAGACGAGTTGTAAGTAATGAATGATGCATCATCATTATTTACAGTGTCGTCCTTTTCCTTATCCTTCTGCAAGTCACTTTGAGATACAGACTCCGATGTTTCGGATACCTCGGACGTTGTCGATTCGACAATGTCCACCGAATAACTCTCTGTGTCTGTTGGAACTTCGCTTTGTATTTCTTCTTTGTCGTTTATACCGTTCTTCAGCTCTTCTTGTGCTGCAGTTCCGGTCGTTTTCTGATCATCCTGCGGTTGCTTGTTGTCAGTTGACTTATTATCTCCGTTTTCTGTGACACTTTCTGTTTCCAATGTTAATTTTATATCTTCATCTTGTTCTTCCTGTTGCGACTCTTTGGTTTCAATATTAGAATTTTCTAATGAAACTTCTTCTTTCTCTTGAGTAGCTTTGTTCTCTGCGGATATTACTTCCTGAACAATTTTCGGAGAACTTTGAAGTTCACTTGATATCTGATCAACATGTTTTTTATCCTCGAGTGCTACGGCTTTGTTACCATTTTCTTCTTTGGCACCTTCTTTTTGAATTGAAACTGATTTGATCTCCCCTTCTGACTGCATGTTTGCAGTTTTTGCTTCTGGATGTTTCATTGGTTTTTTTATTTGCTTTGCCGCTTGAACCAGGCCACTTTTGGTCGGAGTACGAGGTTTGCTCTATAACATATATTTATCGCCGCATTCGCAAGAAATGGAGCTAACAAATAGCTTACATTAAGAGATTATTATTAATGTAAAAAAGTAAAATGTTTTATATCTTAAGATGATTATAACATATGAGATTATGTACACGTAAAATTGTTCTTATATGATTCGGTAAAAGAATATGTTAATAATTTATGAAACACAATTTACAATATATAAACAAATGTAAAAAGTAATAAATTTACTATACAGAAAGGTATAAACACATTACACAAGAATTATGCACTATGCGCACACTGATTAAAAGTCAAACCTAATCTCTATTAAAGATAACACTTTATCTTAATTACAACAGAATTAGAAAGATAAACATTCTGCTATGGATAAACATTCCTCTATGTTGATAATATAACGTAATATTAAACATATAATTACATTTCCATTTATGCACAAACAATCACAGAAATATAACAATAATATATTACATAAAATATTCTTGAATATACACAATTCTTTTTCTCTAATATAAAATATGTATTTCAAAATAATAATAAAAAAATAAGAAATAACTAAATAAAAGAATATACCTTGAAAGGTTTTCCTGGTGTAATTGGGATTTTTTTCTGCGTTCCGGTCAGTTTTGATCTAAAACAAGAACAAGATATTTACAATCAATGAAGAGATAAGACGTGAACAAATGGCCTCTGAGCAAGAAATACTGGAGGTGATGAGAGGTACTAATTTGATTTAAAAGTTAAAAGAAAACCAAAGTTTCTCATGTTCGTCTAGTACAAGCAAATAAGAAAATTTTTATCCTTTTGCCATGTGTGCATTAAATATTGCTATAAATAATATCTAAGAAGAATTTTATGAAGATTCGAGAATAATTTTTATCTTGTTCATTAATTTGTTTTATTTTAAATCTCAATCACAAATGATTTTGACTCCAGTTTCCAAATGGTTAAATTACTTATGAAAGACTTTTTGTTTCAACATTTTATTCAGCATGCATACAATTGCACATGGAACTATTCGAAACAAAGGGAAATGTAACCAGATCTTGTTTATTTTTTTTTAGTACACATTATAGAAGATATCCAATATGTTTTTGTTTGATTACACTGATACTGATAAACAAGCACCGGTATTACAAATACGCCATCTGCATTATAAAGTATTAGAAACAAATAAATTGTTGCAATCAAAGAATTGTTCGTTACACAAAAAGGACCTTGAAGTCAATCAGGAAGACGCAGGAAAGGCGTGCGTATCCCGCGATTGAGAAACTCTGGCGGGACACACTTGCGGTTTTCGCCTAGTTGCTTGATTGATTCTACAAACCTGTTCGAACTCTCGGACTCGCGCTGTTCAGAAGCTCTCGACGACGCGGACGTTGTACCTCCGAACCTCCGAACGTACAAATTCCTCTCATCGCCCCCAGGGGCCGCCTTCTTTAGCGTCTTACCCATGGCCAACGATAGCGTTTTTTTTAACGGCGTGCCTATTTAGTCGCGCCCAAGTTAATCTCTCTCTCACACCCTTTTTTCGTTCTTATCCGATCTTTTTATGCAAACGCAAGACCGCGCGAGGTCCCCCACTTAGTCAAAGAAAATGTTTCTCGCTACCTTGCCGCTATCTACGCCGCTCGTTTTCTCTCCTTCTCACACTCTCTCATTCGCTCTCTCTCTCATTCGCTCGTTCTCTCTCTCTCTCACTCTTTTGCTGGCCCGCTAAAGCTCGTCGCCGCTGTTTTTCTCACCGCTCTTTCTCTCTCTCTCTCTCTCTCTCAGCTCGAATATTAATAGCCTTTCTTACTCTCGTCGCGCGGCCAATTACTCGCGTACGTCGACTTCGGCGGCGTGCACGTACGACCGGGTCGAATTTTCCGGTGTTTTCAGACACACGTATGCACTACGCAGGACGCCATGCAACCGACTGAGACGAGACAGACGCGACAGACGCACACATTCGCAAACGCGCGCGCGCGCGACGGACATTTTGAAACTCTTTAAAGTTGTTTCGTTTAACAATCTCGGGTTTCTACGCCAATATGGGAAACGTACGATGAAATTCCGACGAGATTCGCAAATTCGACGCGAAAAGCTTCGACGAGGTCGGCCGATTGATGCGTGCCGACGGAACCGTCAACGATACGAAACATTTGTAATATGAATATACATATACATACGTGTATTAGTATATGTGTAATATATGTGGCCGGCTCTACTCTCGCAAAAGCTACGTAACATGCAACGGAGATTCCGTTGGCAGATTCTACGACAACGACTGCGACCGTAATGGCGCTGCCGTCGCTTTCTCGCGCGCACGCGCAGAAGTTATGAATTGCGATCCGCAACACACACATAGAACGATTCGACGAAATCCGGTTTTCATCCTCGTAAGATCATTAACAATATGCGAAAAAATTTAATACTGAATAAATTAATTTTTTTATTACAGTAATAATAGTGATTTGCAATACCGAATAAACGTGATACGTATTTGTTATTGAAAGAAATACACATAACTGGTATAAATATTAAAAACTACGTTCAAGATAGAGCGGCGAGAGAGAGAGAGAGCCCAGTAAACAATTTGTTAACATATATAAAATAACAAAAAAGATACTACATTCCAAAAAATATTACGAAAATTTAACCCAGTAAACAATTTGTTTGCAATTTGCCGGCAAATTGTCAGCAATTTCAAGCAAAACTACTCAGCAAATTGGCATCAACTGTGTCCGCATTAGGCTTCGATTTTGTTGTCAAAGCTTGTTGACAAAAATTAACAACAAATTGCTAGTAAAAAAACGAGCAAAGCTTGATACATATTGAAACATATTTTAGTCTGAGACCAAATTTTGACGCCAAAGCAAGATCTGCGCAACACGACACAGCTTTGCTTGGTTTTTGCCAGCAAGTTGCTGTTATGTTTTGTCAACAAGCTTAAATATAATATTTTTGCTAGCAATTTTGCAAAACATTGCCAGACAAAACAAACTCTGCATCATATTTGATTTGTCTTTCCGCTAATAAAAATTTGTAACAAGCATTTGGCAAAATCTGTCTCGACAGATTTGGTTATCTGGGGGAGAGAGGGACAACATCAAATATGTACGTAATATCAATAATAGTTCAATAAATATTCACTAACCGCAGCTAATTACGAACACACGTACCTGCGAATGATGAACCGTTAATTATATTTTTCGTGTACTTCGAAACCTTCACGAAAACGATTTTTTTTTTTTCGATTCTGACATGACACGGAACACGGAAACGGATCACGTCGATGCCGAAATACGAGATATATTGGCGTATCTCCCGACGTTTGACGACGTCGCCGACCTTTGACGCGTTATCCGCTTCGCGACGAACACTTTACGAGACACTCGCGTTTAACCTTTCACGTTAAAGCAACGATCAAATCGCGAACAATGTTCAAGCAGCTTGAATCGCGACTCCGCGATTTGCCGCGACGCGTCCGTTGCAAGCCGCTATTCGGAAGTGCTTCGAGAATCGCAAGATCGATATATCTTCGATATTGCAATTCTCGAAGTATCGAATGCGGTGGTTGGCGCGTGATATGATTCATACGAAATATCACAGATTACGCAGTGTAAATGACTTCTTCTTCTTCTTCTTCTTCTTCTTCTTTGCTTATATGGCGCACGCTCCTACTCGAGAGGAGCAAAAGCCAGTCTGAGACAGCAATGTAAATGACATATTTCTATACTGAGAATATACGAAATTATAGGTGTGTTGACAGCAAGTTCAGCCATTTGTAATGCGGATAATGATGATTGGTGGCTTCATCCCCACTACCTAAGTCAGCGATCTAGTGTAGTATAGAAATCTGTGAAAAATACACTCTCAATTGTTATTGTCAAGTTGGATTGCATCAGCCGTATCAGTTGGATTTGCGTAGTGAATATTTTTGGACAATTGTCGGTGTTTTACACCACTTTCTTTATTATTATCTTTAATTTAAACAAATGTACAACTCCGTGGCTTGGCGTCGGGAACCCAATCCACGGTTTTAAACCTGTTATCAAAAAGACATAGAATGGCGTATGGACTAGCTTCATAGGTCCACTGAGCCAAAAGAGCACCAAACCAAACCACCTCAATTGTTATTATTATCTGCGCAATAAAATATAATTTAAAATAATGGGGAAACTAATGCCACAACAGTCCAATTACAACAAATGTGCGACAAACCACTTGTGAAACATTTATGGCTGCTTTCCTTCTAAGAGACACAGTCGACACAAAAGTCATTCTGTCTTCGTTCAGTATTCAGTGAGAAACAAAGACAGAATGACTCTTGTGTCGACTTGTGTCGACTGTGTCTCCTAAAAGGAGAGCAGCCTGTATGTACAGGGGAGTGCACCGTATCGTTCCGCTCTAAGGGAAAGTTTTCTCTGAAATTTCTCTTCTGGTTGCTTCTACTATCGCGCGCCGTACTTTTTCGATCTCCCGAGCGGCCCGAGATTGAAGAAAAACGGCGCGCGGTAGTAGGGACAGTCGGAGGAGAAATTTCCGAGAAATACTTCTCCTGGAGCGGAACGATATGGTGCACTTCTCTGTACAACGTGTAAAATTCTCTCAGGTTTCGTTAATCGAGATTACTTTAGCAAACGCTATTGGTAGATGGTTTTTACGCTCTTTCTAGGTTCGATTTGGTTTGGTTTAGTGCAAATATGGTTCAAAAGATCGTTAAAGTGTTTTTTTTTTGGCGGATAGAAAAGTCATTTGTCTTACGCACATAGGCTGCGTTCCGATATTCACTGCCAGCACTAAAAAATCTATACTTCACGTCACGTGCGCTATCGATTTCCAGTACTGGCAGTGAATATCGAAGAACGCAGCCAATGATCATAAACCGTGGTATTTTCAGCAGTAATGGAAATTAACAGCGCTTCCGTCGCCTAAGTGATAGAAAAGTGAAACATATAAAAGTAAGACCTGGTTTATGCGGGCCTAAGATTTTAATATTTCTGTTTATTAACAGAAGCATAACAGAATATAACAGAAGCATTGAAATCCTATAGTTGAACTGTACCCCAATTCCGGCATAAATTAACAGTTATTACCCGCATAAACAAGGCCAAAACAAGGCCTTATTTTCCCGCATAAACCAGGTCTAAGCATATATGTAATACTCCTATATTGCTAGTACGGTGCCGACCTGAAGCTCACCGTTACGGTGCAGACAATATAGGCTGCTTTCCTTTTAGGAGACACAGTCGACACAAGTCGACACAAAAGTCATTCTGTCTTTGTTTCTCACTGAATACTGAACGAAGACAGAATGACTTTTGTGTCGACTTGTGTCGACTGTGTCTCTTAAAAGGAAAGCAGCCATAGTAGCCTCTCTCTCCAGCTGCTTTGTGCGCTTGCGGTGAACATTCAAGCACGTTTGGGCATTTCTCTTTCTCGCGTTCTTTCCAATGCTTTGTCTCGCTCGCACTCACTTGGTAGATGCGCCTGCGCATAATGACGCTCGACCATCTATGCCCATATTTGGACTTCGTGCGTCTCCCTTTCTCGGGCCTCGTGCCTCTCATTGTGAAGATACGCGACTAGCAATATAGGAGTATTAAGAGCCGTCTACAATGGAAAGTTGTAGGCCGTAATAGTAAGAAATTGACCAATCACAGACAAAGTACAGAAGAATAATCGATTGTGATTTGTCAATTTCTTACTGTTACGGCCTACAACTCTCCATTGTAGATGGCTCTTTACATATATGGGTCTAAGGCCTGTTCTACAATACAGTCGTAAGCTGTAAGTCGTAAGAAATTGACCAATCACAATCGATTATTCTTCTGTAATTGGTCTGTGATTGGTCAATTTCTTACGACTTACGACTTACGACTGTATTGTAGAACAGGCCTAAGCAGTCGAGTGTCATAGGGTGCGTTCAGACAATTCAACGGTTGAGAGATCATCACTCATGATAGGACTATTCTTCAAAATCTGCAGCGATTCCAAAAGTATGATCCAATCAGAAGTGATTATCTCTCAACCGTTGTGCAACTGTTGAGTTGTCTGAACGCACCTATAGGCTGCGTTCGGGGAGCACGCTATCAGCGTTGTCGCGTCATTCTATCTTTGTTTTACATCTACCGACCAATAAAGATAGAATTATGCAACAGCGCTGATAGCGAGCTTCCTGAACGCAGCCTTAGTCGAAGAAAAAAAGTCATGATTTGGATGACGCATTTTGCAGTGACTTAAATCTGGTTGCGTTGTCGGTTTGACGTAAGTAGGACTTTTAACCCGACTAGTATTGCGTGATTACCGGAGGTCGGAAACGAATCAGAGTAATGGTTTGGATGGTGCGTTGAATTTTGCGCGTGCATTTTTGTAATCTTCAAGTGCATAACGAAAACGTTTGACAGCGTTCTTTTCGACAAACTCACGAGAAAATAAAAAAGAAACATGAGCCCAATTTCGTATTTGTTTGTGATCATCGGCATTTTGGAATCCGTAGCCTCGGAATGGAACACAAAGGATTACATGAAACGAGAACATTCTCTGATTAAACCGTATCAAGGTTTGTCAATTACTTTTACTTGTCATTCCGGAACACGTTATCGCATGTAACGTTTTTTGTTGCGCATTCGCGTCAAAAAAAAAAAAAAAGAAACTTAATGGCTTGTTCATTATTTAATTGCAAATTTATGTTCATTATGCATTTGAGGTTACGACCACCGAATTAAAATGCGGCTCGTAATGCGGCAGATAATTTATTCCACTTGATAGATGAGATTGCATATATTTTTTGTCAGCTTTACGTAAGAACAATATTTGCGATTTTCCATACACGTGACAGTATTGTGTAGATAACGGAAAAACAGATATAAAATTCTAAAATTGAAAACCATTTTTTTACTTGAGTTGTTTTTCTTAATCGCGACGTAAAAACATGATTTAGTAGCGAGAACTGTAAGAAATCTAAAGAAATATTCAAAAATATGTAATAAATAAGAATGTAAAATAAAATAAACATAAACTGTTCACACACGTCTATCTTTAAATAATATCAAAATCATTTTTAATATACGTCAGCTATTTTTATTTATTATATTATCAGATATTACACATTTTCTTGGTGTATTTAAAATTATATTAAAAATTTTAAATTATATGTTCATTTATATGGAATCTATTCTTAATTGTGTTTAATTTAGTAAATTAGATAAAAGTCTTTTGTTGATTTTATGACTAATATTACAGGCACAGGTATGACAATACCTAATTGGGATTTTATGGGAAGCACAATGGTGACAAATAATTACATCAGGTTAACACCTGATCAACAAAGCAAGCAAGGTGCCTTATGGAATTCTATAGTAAGTATATATATTTTTTAAACTTCTGTATTCTTTTTCGTGAAAACCTTATAATAGTAGGGAAGTGACCAATTCAAGGCAATTACCAGACTTTGTGTCAATAAACTTCTTTATTTTAAAAAACTTGACAAACATTTCGACCCTAATTTGGGTCTTCTTCAGTGTACTACATATAATAATTACACATAATAATTATAGATTATATTAAACAATCTTACGCAAGGGGTTGATAACGCATACCCCAAATTACAAGGTTTGACACTTACAGGAAGGCTTGTAGGTATAGGAAGAACTCAGTCCATCAGGTGCGCAACGTCGCCAACAACACGCGATACGAAAGTCTCGGTGCTAACGAGACACGAACAAACAACTAGCGCGCTGACAGACTACGTCCTTAACAACGCTACTATTCCGAATAACATTCTCCTCCTACTTCTCATATCATACGCAAACATCACAGGAATGCCTATGTCGCTTTATAGCACCAAAAACGAGAAATAAGGCTTTAGTTAAAGCCTTAATAAAGAAGTTTATTGACACAAAGATCTGGTTATTGCCTCGAATTGGCCACTTCCCTACTATTATATATATTTTGTGTCTATACTTAGTCTATGACTTGTAATGCATATGAGGGAAGTGCATCTGATGCCAAATAAGCTAGTAAAATATACAGGGTGTCCAACAATTAGTGTAAAATCTCGTAGAAAAAGTAAAACTGAGTCGAAAAGTCCTGAACCATTTTTTTTTTCTAAATATGGTAGATTGTTGAGGTGTCACCTCGAGCTCTCCTTGGTAAATCCAACATATTATTTGAAATGAAACAGCTATAAGGAGCCTTTGCAGGATGTTGTGCAGTAATAATATGTTTGAAACAATGTTTGTCAAAACGTTTCGACTTTATTTGAAGTCTTTATCAATTGATCTGCTGACATTAGTATTGCAAGTGAATTATTTATGTGAAGTGATATTGAGGATTGAACATTAATAAATTAAATACATATCGATATACACAACAAAACTAAGAAGTAATGCGCATCATGTTACAATATAAATAGCCAAATTTTATATCGGTATATTTTTTTCTATTACATATAATAAAGGAGTAATTATTGAATAAATCAAGCCAATCAGCGCCGACCTTTAGCCGGGCACACGTAAGTAAGCCGCGAGGAGCGCTCACGCACACCAGGCGCGTGGTTCACTGACGTTCACTGACAGCTTGATTTATTCAATAATTACTCATTTATTATATGTAATAGAAAAAAATGGTTCAGGACTTTTCGACTCGGTTGTACTCTTTCTACCTACGAGAGATTTTACACTAATTGTCAGACACCCTGTATATGCATCTTCAAATCTTCTGAGCATTGACCAGCTAACAGATTATGATGTTCTATTGAGAGCATCCATTGCAAAAAATATTCATTAATTAACATTACAAATCTGATAATTTTTAGCCATGTCAAGTACGAAATTGGGAGTTGCAAGTTCAGTTTAAAGTGCATGGAAAAGGAAAGGATTTGTTTGGCGATGGTTTTGTTATTTGGTACGCTAAAGAAAGAATGACGTCTGGTCCAGTATTTGGGAGTAAAGACTATTATCAGGGACTAGCCATAATACTTGATACATATAGCAATCACAACGGTCCACATAATGTACGTTAAACAATCACACAAAGCTCTTTCAATATATTATCAATAACATTATATTAAACAACAATTTGTTGTCAGCTCTTATCAACTAAAAATCTTTTAATCTTTTATGCTGTTAATTAATATGTATATATTTTTTCATAATATTTACAATACGCAATGTGATTTGTAACAGCATCAACATCCTTATATCTCAGCCATGATAAACAATGGATCTCTGCATTACGATCATGACCGCGACGGTACTCATACGCAGCTCGCGGGATGCGAAGCCAAGTTCCGGAATTTGGACCATGACACTCACATAGCCATAAGATACGAAAGTGATACCTTGACCGGTATATAAAATTAGATTTAAAACTTTGCTTTATTGCGTATTGAGATAACAGCATTTTTTGTTTGCTCATGCAATGTACTTTGTCCGGTCACGCAACATTGACTTTGGCGTGCTTTGTTCTCTTACTGTTATCGGATGACTAATTAGCTTTGTCTTTATTTGCAAAACCACTATTTACTGTAGCTAAGACGTATTTAATATTAACAAAATCATTTCTTAATTTATTTAATCTTACAGTTTCCACGGACTTTGCTAACAAAGCAGCCTGGAAAGAATGCTTCCAAGTGAATGAAGTTAAACTTCCAACAGGATACTACATCGGAATATCGGCAACTACCGGCGATTTATCGGATAATCATGATATATTATCAATCCGTTTGTTCGAATTAGACTTGCCAAATGATGTAAATACTAATTTATTTTATTTTTTTATAGTTTTGTTAATGAATATATAATATCACATAAAACATAAATTTTCACATATAAATAAAATTATAAATTAATTTCAGACAAAAGAAGACAGATCTCAAATTGTGCCATCAGCAGCAAGTTTTGAGGCGCCAAGAGGTACGCGATCAATGTTTGAACAATGTTTGTTTACTCGTGTTTATATGCTTCGACATTAACAGCAATCTTATTTTCAGAACGCGTAGAAGATGCTCCGAAAGAGACTGGTATGAGTGGTATAAAGCTTTTCCTAGTGATGTTAGTTATAGCACTTGTTTTAATAGCCTGTGTTGTCGTTGGCATTATGGTCTATCAGAAACATCAGGAGAACAGCAGAAAGCGTTTTTATTAAATTAATTGTAGGTAGTGTATGTGTCTTAAATGTCAGCTTACCGTTAGGTTTCTCCTTAAATTTCAGCTTACCGTTAGATTTCTCCTTTATTCGAGGATCTTTCGTTAAACAGCTGTAAATTTAAGCTGTAAATTTAAGAACCGCTCATAAGACTGTCTTCTGTTTTTCTTTGACTATTACAAACATAGATCGACATCGTGCCAGAGCAGTCTTCAGAATAAAAGAGAAAATGAGTATGTACGAAAGCATGATATCAACTGTAATGTATTCGCGGAAAATTGCCTCAATTTACACGCTTTACGCAATCAGTAAATGTTGCGTCGGTGTACATTTGTTATTTATGCCCAATTTGTATTGCGAGTATGTATTTATTACAGTTCCTTTACCAAAGTTATTAACGTCTCAAGATGCCACGAAGAATTTACATAATGGAGTATAAGTTTTTTTATATATCCGACTGCTAATCCCTATATTATAGAACGTGGAAAAAGGTAATCAATGTAAATGTATGTTCTTACAATATGTGCATATTGCTAACTGAATGCACTGCGGATAGTTTATAAAAGATATGTATTAATTTTTTTAGAGAAACCTAAATACTTAATTTAATTTGTGGTGATATTTTTTTTAATCTTTCCCAATCAAAAATAATTTTCTAACAAAAATTATATTCAGGCTAGTGAATATTTGTTTGCGAGTATTTCTTGTAAGTTACTTTGTATATGTCCAGAATCTACACGTATCTCCAGAAATACTACTTAAATATTTTAAACAATTATGATTTTAAGGCTCGTTGAAATTAATAACAAGATATATATAAGGCCTTACATCCTGCGAATGGCTCGTAAGGCCTTATATATATCTTGTTATTAAATATTTTATGCATCACAAATAAAAAACGATTTTAGGTTAAAGAGTAGTGAAATGTATCATAACGACTGAATTACTTATCACGAGCAGCTTCTCAGGTTTCTTCTCTTCGAGCTTATTATTACTTTTCATGCAATTAACTACCATAAAAAAACATCGTGACACTGAGGATTTTATATAATAAAAAATATTGTACATATAAAAAAAAAAAATTTAACATTAACACTCACTCCTCTCATATTGCAATGGAATTTTATCGAAGATACACAAAATTCTAAACAGATCGTGTTTGTTGATATTATTCTATTACGCGTATGTTGCAACATGTAGTATGGTGATGCACGGGAGGTTCTATTGTACCTCGACATAATTACATGATGTAATTTTATTGTAATTCTTTTATATGAAAACTAAAAAAGAAAAAAAAGGGAACCAAACCGTTTAATAAACAATTCTCTTGTTATCGTGAATGTTATTATTCAAAATAATGTATCATAATGTTGCCAAATACATAAAATAAATATGTCTATATAAATATATACAACTCCTATAAATACTAATTAAAAAAATATCACTTCTTTTCCGTAAGAAGAGATACGAGGTATTAGAGAACTTAAATACTAATATTGGAGTAAAGAGGTACTTTTGTGAATTCCGACACTGTATTTTTGTTACAACATTATTTCATGAGAAAAATATACATTTGCACGTCAGAATTCGCGACTTACAACATATTCAAATTCCATTCGTTCGCTTGGAAGAAGCAGATCGATTACTTTTTTTTTATTATTAACGATAAAAATTATTCGAACAGAAAAACGCACACACGCACACCAAGGCACATCTATATATCCAATTTTTTTTTTTTTTGTTTTTTTATCTCTCTTCGCTACTTGGTTCCTATTGTCCTTTGTGTAATACAACGACACGAAACTGTCCTTAGACACTATAGACAGATATGCTCATTTAATATATTCGTAAATCTAAAACACTTAACATCGATGTATATAGACTTGTACACGATCGTTAGTATTGTACACATTTTACTTTCTAAAAGCTGTTATATTCAGGTAACTGATATATCCTACAAAGTGTATGTATATACACATTTTTAATCAGATAATTTAATTTAATTCGATACCGCATAAAATTCTCTATGAATATTATATAATTTGTTTTCTTTTTTTTAGTAAGAATAAATGTACATGAAATTTACTGGAGCAATTCAAAGCTCAGTTACTTTGCACTCGATAATCAGAAAAAAAAAAATCCAAATTCTGATGAATCTGATTAAAATCTGACTTTCACGTTCTTCGGACACCTATTTGGGCTCGCCGGCCAATCCATTAAGAAGTGTCTTCAGACACCTTTGATGACTCGGAGCCACATCTATTCTAAACAATAGATTTCTTATGTCTCAAATCTACACACTGTAAGTTAAGGAATGACTAACTCCGGTCTGTCAAATCAAGTTTAAAAAATAAGAATGAATAGGAAGACCAAAGAAAGCCAAATGTTCTAATTAGTTGGTCTTAATAACTGTAAGAAAATAGTTTTCTAGTATCTGTTTTATATACAAGTTGTTCGGCAATAATCACATCACTTCTTGTTGGCAGATAGAGGAAGTTGTACTTGAGTCGAAAACTTTGTCATTTTGCAAGTTTCGCAAAATTAATAATGAGTTAATTAATTTATAAAGATCCGCAGATGAGAACACACCTGCACGAGATGATTCAGGCGTTTCGCGCGCTCACGGTTGCTAGGCGCGCGACACGAAGTGATATTATTCACCGAACACCTTATAATTGTGGATACTGTCATTTTAAATTAATGTCTTTTCTGACATAACTTGAAGAAAGAGGACTCGAAACATCTATCTAGTGTATTAGCATTGTACCCTCTTATGTTTGGCTTTCATTGGCTTTTCTTTCTTTTTCTTTTTATTCGATTAAACATCTTAGAGCCATAAAAAATTAGTTTTTTTAATTTGTAGTTTCAAGCTTGAGAGAAGCTAGAGAGATCTAAGACATTCAGTCACGTGATTTCAGGAACGTGATCATTTGAACATCACAATCGGATTGAATAAAAAGTTTAGTACAGTCTTTAAGCTGAGCCAGAGAAGATGGATGATAAAGCTTACGGTAACACGATGTCTGTGACGTTTGTAGGACGTTTTTAGATCGACGGAGTTGCAAGCGAGACATCCCGCCTCTTCCAGAGCAATATGTAATTCAGCACCACCGAGAAGAGATTCGTTTTCCAAACCGTTATTCAACAGAGTCCCGGAGAACCAAATCTTGTCGCCCGGATATATGTTAAGACTGAAATTAGTGAAAGAATGATCCGCAACGAGATATATCTCCGTCGTGCTTCCCCATATACCGTTTTTCATCTTCACGGTAATCTCGAACTCGTACTGATCCCAAGCTGGAAAGTGACATTTGTGTTTTTTCTTCTGAATATTTTTTATGTGCTTGCAGTTCTTCTTTCGAATCTCGTCGCCCGTATTACAGTTTTCCTCGTAAGCTTCTCCGTACATGCAGCTGATTAACGTTCTGATATTGTCAGGCAGCCTATTTACTATGACCGCGATGTTGTTCTTTACCGATTTTAATCTGATATTTGTTACGTAGCCTTCCCAGGAAACGGCTATGCCTTCCAATTGTGCGCACTCCACCTGCACTTGCGCCTTCGACGACAATTCCTCCCACGCTGGTTGATGGCAATAGTTTTGATACTGATCCCACGTTATGGTGGAAGCGATTTCGTACGACGCCACGTCAGACTCCTGCTTGTATTCCATTATCATCGGCCACGATAAGAAAGTTGCAGCGCCAACACCAAGAACAATCTGTGTACAAACATAGATTTACATAGATTTAAAACAAAACAAAAAAAAACCTTTTATAAACAAAAATATAAGCAAGAGAAAAAATATGACGATATACGTACTTGAACGAGTGTAATGATCCAGTTAAACCTCGACGTTCTGGTTCTTCTCAGATACCACGAAAACACAAATGGCAATCCTCCGAGCGCAGTGGTAATTGTTATCCTCATCGCCAGGTCGTTCTCCGACAAAAATTTAGCGGCGGCTACGATCGGCAAAATGATCGAAGCTATACCCGCGATTGGAAGAAACAGAACCATACCGACGAGCGCAAGTGCGCCTCTGATTAAACCGTACCACGTGGCGCTTTGAGAACTGAAGATCGCTATTTGCCACCAACTTAGCGTGACGCAGTGAGGTATCAGAGTTCGATACGTTCCGCGCCAGTTGTCTCTCGCGGCCATCTTCGCGAAGACCGCCGGTATTAGAAGATAAAACACAACTCGGAAGTTGAGACAAAACTCGATGCCGTTACCAACAACGTACGACGCGAATGTCGGCACTCGAACGTCCAGAAATCTCCAACCTTGCGCGACGACCATGTCCATCTCGTAAGGATACTTGGCGAGAACATGCACGCCGAAGCTAAAGAGCGCCAGGAAATCGGGATAACGCGATGAGTCCTTCCATATGAAGTTGTAGAGCGTGATGAGCGTCAGCGCAACCGCTATCACGGTAAATTCGGACTGCGGTGTCCATTGGTGAGCTATCAGAGGATAGATCATTAGATTTAGCAAAAGAGCGAGGAAAAAGTGTCCATAAGGTTTGAGGTTGTTGCGACAGAATTGATACTCCGCTTCCTCGGGATTCAGATTGCCGCCGGAATAACACAAAAACAAACCCGACCACATGCGGAAATTGTTGAACTCACGCTTCCGCTGAAGCACTTGGAAAGTGGCCACTACCATAACCACAAACGACAGATAGTAGAGGGCTATGGGTATAAAAAGTAACAGGCTCTCGGTGCCAAGTAAGGAATATAGCAAAAGTAGAAGAAGAATGTGTAGATTCGACGTAAAGAGGATCCTTTTGATCGACGCGCCTTTGCGACTCACAGTCTCGACGAGCCAACTGTAGAAACGCTTCAGCGACGCGAACGGATGAATCAACGGTCTCTGCAAAAGCGGTACAGTGTCCAGTGTCAGCTCGGACGGATCCACCATGCAGAGAGCATGCGACACTACCGGAAGCATTCCGCGCGCGTAGCTCGTAGCTGCGGATACCAGAGCAGCTTCGGTGATCTTCTCGCCTTGGTCCGGCCACTCTGCGATTATAACAAAAGCTTGTGTAAGTACGCATAAAGAATATCGTGAGAAAACGTCTTCTTACCGTGAATTTCGTTTGTTTGATCTTCGTTCTTCTTGGGTGAAGTTTCGTCAGGAAGTCCGTTTTTGGGAAAGCCATCGTTATTACTGTCGTTCAGTCTCTTTTGCGACGAGTTGCTGGAGTTGCTGTTATTCGTGCGAGAACAATCGGCTTTGCTAGTTGACGGATACGACAAATCCCTCATATGTTTTTGCAGCTGTCCTGTGGTGATAAAGTCCTCGCCATTTGACAAGCTGACGAACAAGTTTCAATATTTAATAAGCACGCGTACGTTTTTTTTTATTCTTATTTAAACACTTGATTATTTAATTTACCTCATGAACATTTCTCTTGCTGCTCTTCTTGCCAACTTCTCATCCTGCGTCATGTCCAGACAACTTTTCACGTCGTAGTAGTTGTGTTCCGTAATACCACGGCCTGTGGCCAGGCACTTTCTAAGAATATCGGTTGCCTCCAAATTTCCTTGTTCCGAAGCTTTTGTTAGCCAATAAACGCTCAATTTCGCATTCTCTTCTTTGTCGACGTCAAGTTCTTCAAAATATTTTACAATTGTAAGTGTGAGCATATAAATATTATGTAGGGAAAATAAATCAGTGAGAGATGCGGAAAGAAAGAATTTTGAACAGAACACGTGCAACTTACCACATCGTTCTTCCAACAATTGCTTGGCCAAAATCACTTGGGATTCTGGACAACCATCCTCTGCCAATCGGGAACGTAATCGTCTGAGAGAACCTTTAGGCCCATCTGTCAATACAAATTTCACAAGTTTTTGTTCTGATCGCATTCTCGCAATTTCATTTGCATTATTAACTATTTAGAATTTTTTGTTCGCGTTAATTAACAAAAATTATCGTCTTGTCAAACTTTACATAGTTCAGATAAACTATCGATTGTTTATTTCGAAAACGTTTAATATTTTTCAATCAAATACCAATTTCCATCTTTTCGATTCGCAGTTGTTTCACCTTCAACGCACTGATTGGAACTGAACGTATATAACTGTTGATATCGTAAGACACACACACTCGTGTGTCAGACAATCATTTGTTTGTCCTTGACCAAATTTGTATCAAGCTGTGGCTCCCAAGAAAGCGAGATTTCGAATTTAAATATCTGTCACAAAATTTGTCTCGAGATACTACGAATTTTAATTAGCGTCAATACGATAGGTCCTCTAATTCAATGAGAATCAGTCATCTATTTGCATCACAGCGTTGGATAAACAATTTTGCGAAATGTGAAACCGCACACAAGAAGAAACGTTCTGTTTTCGATAATCGCAGAAAGATTAATCTGCGACGTTCGTGGGGAAACAAGCGACCCGAATAATTTTTCCGAACATTCTTCTGGGAATCCGCCGATCATGCTCGAATCACCGTTCAGAGAGATGATAATGATGATGATTATGTACCATGTAGCGTCCACTGTTTTCGGCCGGATCTACCTGACAGCGGCACAATACCAGCCATCGTTCAAGGCAAGGACCAGGTCGCGAATTCGATTCCCGTTCGCGACGAACGTCGCTTTTTTTTTTTTTTTTTTCGAACGATCGGAATCGTCCGCAAACAACAGAAAATCACGCCACACTCGCAATCACTTTGCGGCCAACGCGTTCCGCCAAGCGCCTGTCACAGCTATCCTGTTGAATAGCTTGGATTGCGAGAGCGTGGGTGCGCGGCATGCGCGCTCCGTCGCGTGAGGTTAGGTTAGGTTAGGGTTAGGGTTAGGTTGGGTGAGACTGAGTTTCGCGTCTCTCGGGTCGGGTTAGGAACACAAACGCCGGGCGCGCGCCATTGCGGCTCGAAAAATTGAATCGTTCGCGCGTGTTCCGTTGACTTCGTGCGGGGAGTTTAGCGAGCTGTATTGTATTGTTGTCGCGGCGCGGATAATTATTGTTGAGGTAATTATCAGAGATTTTTTATTTGTTTTTCTTTCGAGATTTTTTAATTTCTTTTTATTCTCGTTCTTTATAGAATCACGGATCTCTGCAAGGTTCCAATAAAGCTGGCGATTTTCTCAAACATGGCGTTCGCGGCGGTGTGGATGTCAAATGGAGGTTACATTAGTTAAGGTATTGTTTACAAATATTGCATACGACATATATAGTTGACGGATATTAAGTATCTTGCGTCACACGCACGGGAAGAGGATGTGGTTTTATTGTTTCGAACGAACATACTTACCTTCACACACAGAAAAGAGAAAGAAAATATTCCAAAAAAAAAAAAAATAGCATTTGTGGATAACTCGCGCTTTGTGTGGTGGTGAGTAATTGACGCACATTTTTTCAGTGTTAAACATCTTTATCTTTTCGATACAAATGCGTCGAGCGCTGCTATATAAAACACAAATTGCACATCGAGTCGAGTATACAATTTATACATATATATATATATAAATCGCTACGGTCTAAAAGTACACAGTCATTTTTGTGGAAGAAAACTTCTTCCCCTCGCGATCAACAGGCGTCGCAAACATTTCTCGTTGCAAATAGATTTATTTTTCTTAAAAAAACCAGTTAACATATCGGCAAAACACAACGCTACTTTACGTAGAAAGTGTGACGCAACTACGTAATTATTATACCGATAACTATAAGTGACGCGCATATTTAATATCTGATTCAACTTGCAAATTCGGTGCCGGTTTCGATGAGTTTGCATTTCTCGGCGTATGTCTCGGGACGTCACTCTAATTGAAAAGCCACCCGCGAAACGATATTCATTCAGCAAAACCACGTCTTCGCGGGCTGCTCGTGTAGTCAGAAATCGGCACGCAAACTGGCGCTGCGAAGAACAAGAAAAAGCGCGTCGTCTTACATTCCGAACAATTCAAAATCCATAAACTCTTCAATATAAATACTTACAAAGTACTCGGTCCGGTGTAAGGCGGCGGATTCGGACGAATGTACGGATTGCAACGTTCGCCGGAGATTCTGAAAAATAACATACGTTGTTGTTCACAAAATATAAATGGATTAAAGATTGTATCAATTTTCCATAAGTCAGTTTTTTTTTGTTATATAACAAAAAAACTGACTTATAGAAAATTTAAGTAATTTTTTTAATTTTATTTTTACGTATTGTGTTGTTTATATATATATATATATATATATATATATATAATGTCAAGAATTATTATATATATATATATGTTATTTAATTTTTTAATTCTTGACATTTTTTACGCAAGCTTGTTAAATTATTCGAAATATTTTGTTTACTTATTCACATTTGTGAATTTTTTAAAAATCTTTCCTTAAAAACTTATTTCTCTGAAATTCTGTAATACGAATAAATTATTCAGGCGTGAAATTTGGCGTTGAATTATCCAAAACATTTCGCTCTCAGTGAGTTCGCTATACAATCTTGATGTCTCGCTAATTATGCGCTTACGTAATTTTGTGCTCGCAAAAAAACTGAAAACACTCATTCGACGAACGCATCTTTTTACGACATACCGCACGTAACAGACGCTCAATAATACAACTGCATTCAAGTGGATCAGATTGGGAGTAAATATAATACTATAGTACACTTATGCACACGTGTTTATTTGATTAATGAATCTGCTTGTGAGTTACGCGCGCCACGCAATAAAAATACTAATCTGAAGATACGTTTGTGCTGCGTCTTTATCTAATTCTCTTTATCTGCTCTTTGAAATAATAGTTATGGTACGGAAAAAAATATTCAAATGTGTTTTGTCACTTTCAAGGATTAAAACCTCATAAATTAAACGCGCTTGGATTTCATTAAAGAAAAAGAACCGCAAATATAGCGACTTCTACATTTCATTTCATTTTATAATGAAGTTCTGCAAGATAATTAATTTAGAATTATTCTCTTTCTCTCTCTCTCTCTCTTTTAAAAACTTCAACTTACTTTTCTTCATTTTTTATCGAGTTGCTGCAAGAAAATTTAATTTCGATTTTGACGAATGTAAAGATATCTTCCCTCTTGACGTAGAAATCTTCTAATTATTTTCTAAATGAAAAATACGACGCTCGCATTTTGCGCAAGGAAAGGCTTTATGTGTGAAGGAAAAAACATTTAAATTGCTCGGAATTAAAGTTCGTTCTTCCGACGACTTGACGAAACTACTAAAAGAAACTTGTTTACATGTTTTTTTGTTTTTGTTTTTTAAGTAAAACAAGATTGAAATTGATGTCCGTAAATAAAAAAAGTGCCCACCTTGGACTTCTCGACAGAGAGTCATTCGGACTCGAGGGATGAGCCGACAGGGATTTTAAGGTGCCTCTCTCCGGCATCGCGTACTGCACCATTTGTATCCCGTTGTTTCCGACTCCCTCCACGGGCGTGAGTTCTCGCTTCTCGCTGTAAAACCAGAAATGTCACTTTTTAAGGTGAATATATTTAGATTCTGCCTGTTTGTTTCTTCAGGCAGAATAAAATATCCAGTTTGTTTTTTTTTTTTTTTTTTTCGTGCGATAATATAAAAATAGAAATTTATTCGACGCCGATTGAAAGACATCAAACCACTCCGCATAAAATTTAAAAAAACATTTTTTTATCGTCATAATTATCATATCACAAACACAAGCATGTCGCATATCTCGTGTGTGTCTGTTATAGTTGTATAAAGCGTACACGGTAAATGCAATCCGGTTATATTTTTGTATAAAGTTGTTTGACAAATTCACACGCAGATCTGTAAGCACGAGAAAGTAAGTTAGAAAAGCTCGATCTAAGAAAGAAACGTCATTAGAATTCTCACTCAGCTGGGAGTCTAATTAATTCGCAGTGTGTTACGTGACTCACATCACAAAAATACGTACTCAATGATATTTTGTCGACGTTACACATCTCGCACTGCAGTCATTAGTAATTAGAAAGCGAATATATTTCTGAGAAACGTACACACGGAGTGAACGTACCTGACGGTTTTTCTCATAAGGAAAATATTAAAGAGTTCGTCGAAATATTCGTCCGATTCCGGATCCGTCCTACGAAAATTCAAATTCAAAAATACATAAATGTGTCTGATTCCAAAAAAAAAAGAAGAAATAACTCTGTTAATTAACGTCGTGTTAGTTAAACACACAAAGAGACTCGATCGATCGCTCCAATGTAGCAATCTGTCATGTAAATTGTATCATCCACCGATCGAGTTGCCATATCTTCGCGAATGCGAAGTAATTTTCATAATAAGATGATGACACATTTATACGCGTTTTGTTTTGTTTTTTTTTTCGTAACAGACGATATTTTAATTATCATTTGCGTCACAACGTAATAGTTGCGCGCGCCGAAGTTGTAAAGATATAAAACGCGATAGAAACAAAAAGAGAAAATAAAAAACAACCGCACAGATATTTATGGAAATTCATGGAACAAAGTATAAACAACATCTCCGACGTATACATTTGTTATTTAGATTGAGCGCTAAATTAATGTTGCACTCGTCCTGCCGCGAAACCTTTAATTAACGTTTGCGGAACAACAAAAAAAAAAGCATTAAAATGTTTTATTTCGCACAAAAAAACTCTGCAATAAAACTCGCGCTGGGATCTTTCGCGATCTTTCAATTTAAAAAATTGCAAAACCTTAACTGCATAGTTTTTTTACGCATATTCACATCGTCGTAAATTTATTTTTGAGCCACACACAAAGAAGATTCAGAGAGAAACTTCAAAGTGCGCGGACTTCTCTTGCGATAAAACTTATCGTACAACACTCGTGAAAAACCCTTCCGTTAGAAGCGAGGATTTTACCGCCGCAACCGGTTGATTTTTTTTTTTTTCTGCGGCTTTTTCGTCGCGCTCGGAGCCGCCAAGTATCTACTCTTTAAATGAGTCATATCGCACGCTTATGACGCGCGTAGTCCTGTTCCTGTTTGCGCCGGTGCGCGGTATTATCAGCTGACGCGATTGCCGACGGCGATTTATCGCGAAACGCGCGGATTCGCGAATCGACGAAAGCGCACGAAAATCAAACAAACTTGCGCAAATATATATATATAACGCGGGCCACGTTCGAACGTAACTTCAATGAAAGCCGCCGATTCTTCCCCCAATGCCATTGCTACGCAAAACGAATCGCACACTGCGTCAGCGCTGCGTCAATCGTCACGTGTGACACGACGTAATTGACTTATTATCGCGACGCGCCAATGAAAATTGTTGGGACCCACGATAAAGCCCCCAAGAAGAACGCGCACGGACGGACGCACACGCTCGTTCGAATGTGAGCTTCGGCCTCGTCGCGAACGATGTCGATGTTATGCACCGCAGCCGGCGACCCGATGAAAAAGTCGTTAACGAAGTTCCGTTGCATTCCGCGTAATCGCGCGCCGCCGCAGCCGCCGATGATATACCGCCTGTAATTACGGCCAGAGATTGAATTCGTCGCAGCTGAGACTGCACAGATGCGCGCGAAAAAAAAAAAATGTATTTTCTTCTACGTAGTAAAAAAGAAAAGTATGAAATTACTGAATTATACGCCGACTAAAAATATATTTCGTAAAAAAGCGAGTTGAGAATTTTATTCATAGCAATTTACACGGACATTCCTCTCAAGGTTAGGTGGAATAAAAAGAAATGTGACACACGTGTGAAAATTTATAAAAATAAAATGTTACGAGCGATGATAATAACCATTTAATTTGCATTAAACGCGCCTTAAACGCAACATCGTTGAAAATATTTTTAACAAAAATAGCTGGATACAAATGATAATTTAGTATATACAATTTACGTCAAACATTACGTGAGCATCGTGTTTTTTTTGGGGGGGGAGACTCGGTATAGCGGCGTGCTCCGCGTGCAAGCAAATTGATAAATTTGTATTTTGTTTTTTTGCACACACACACACACACACAAAATGACGAACGTAGAGATACGAGAATTATCGAGAACTGTTATCTGTGTGTCCATCGCGCAAAAAAATATTTATTTTGGACGAGAAATACGCGGACGATTAAATTGGACGGGGATATTCTCGTGTCATTGGCACACGTGCGTTGTTATCGGAATGTCCAAGGCGGTTTTGTTAAATACTTACGATAAATGCTGATATTCTCTGACGCAAAACGAAATGCCTAATTATGCTAGATTAGCTGATATTATCGAAAACAAACACGTTATCGCATATTATTATTGTGAAGGTAAAGAGCATACACACACACACACACGTACGCGCACAAGTTGTTGATGAATTAATAAAAATAACAAAAAAAAATTTTAATTAGTTTATTTTATTAGTTTATTAGTTCATTTTAATAAGTCAAAAAGTGATATTTAATCACTTAAAAGAAAGATCGAATATTTTGAACATTTATGAGCAGTTTTTTTGATGATATAAAGTCCCAAAATATAACGATGGTTCTCAGAACGAATGGTTTGTTTTGTTTTTTATTGTATGTTTCCAATATAAAAATACGAAAAAAAAAGCCATTCTCGACGAGAGGCACTTGTGTGCACGGCCGCACCCGTACGCGATAACTTTGTACCTAAAGTGGCTTTTGTGTGGCCATTGTAAAAGCATCATTTCCGTGCCACTTTACGCCTTTTACAACGTTGCGCCCGGGCCACGTCGCTTTTGTGACCGGTAATTGAAGCGTTCATAAACGCCGCGACAGCGTTATGTCATTTTGCGAACTTGTATTATTACCATCAGAAATCGCTATATTTATTATACATGTTAAACAAAAAGAATATATATGTTAAATAAATAATTTTCGATGCAATAAAATAATATATAAAAAATAATATCTCAAGTACGCAAACATGTTTTTGGTTCTGTCCGATTTTTTGTCCGATTTTTCAAAACGCTCTTTGAGAACATCGCGAACGTTTGTTTTTTTTTTAAATAACGCGTATCAAACAAGAGTGCGTTATGAAGTTTTTCGGGTTACCTTGAAATCACCGACAATCATTTAACCGATGTTTTTATCAACACGAATTCACCGACAATTATTTCACCGACAATGTTTATTTACCGACACATTGAAATCACCGACAATGTTTTCATCAACAATAATTTTACCGACAATATTTTCACCAACAATGACTTCACCGACAATATATATATATATATTTTCTATCGCCGTATATATTGTTGCCGGCGATATGTTGAATCTTTTTTTTTGTACACATTTATTTTTTCTCGTACAAAGAAATATATATGAAAAAATTAATAAGGCGTAAATATTAAAAGTTATTGTAATTTGCACTTTTACTTTGTTAATCGCCATAAGTGTTACATTAATAATTGGAAATGTCGATAATTAAGAATAATATAGATATTAAGTAGATATTAAGTAGATATTAAATTATTAAATTAATTATTGTCTTAATTATTGTGATAAAAACATTGTCGGTGAATTCGTGTCGATGAAAACATTGTCGGTGAAATGATTGTCGGTGATTTCAAGATAACCCAAGTTTTTCAAGTATAAAGTTTCTTCACATTTTTCATGAAGCAAACGTAAAGGAATTTTTGTTGCCGAAGAAAACATTTTAATGTCTTCAAAATATATATTATTGACTTTTTCCAAGTTAGCTAGTTATTTGCTCAAGTAAACATGCAGGGATTTTGAGAAGCGATATGCGTTCAACATATTCCGATCGCGAACAAACGAAAGAGAGCGAGAGCTGGTGGGAAATTTTGGTAGACGCGCGTGCTAGACGCTTCGCTCCGGGGAACGAACACACGCGGAGCGATGTTTACGTCGGTCGGCGCGCAAAATTAACGAGCCACGCTCGTCGATTGCAGCGGAAATCGCTTGCGATACATACGCGTAGATCTATTTCCGCGTTAGCTTCAACTGTCGATAAGCGATTCCGTTGCGTCACTGCGATTCCTATCGCGTCACGGCATCATCTGACCGGGGCCGTGTCGTTCTGATCCGTTCGCGGTCACTTACCCGCTTCGACGTGCAACGCATGCACATACGTACAGTGCGGAGCACCATATCGTGCGCCGTGAGGAGAAGTAGTTCTCCTCTGGCCGCCTCCTACTATCACGCGCCAGCGGCCCGAGATTTAATCCATATATTGGCACGGTTACCGATGATACATACCGACGCGGTTACCAATAATACCGAAAAGCATATGTTATCATAAAACTATCGTGAACATTGAAAAGAGTAACTCTGCATTGAAAGTGACTTCAATAATTTATATCAAATATTAATTTATTTAATTATTACGTGATATAATTTTACGTGATATAAGAAACTTACTTACGGTAAGTGTAAGAAAGTAAAATATATTTAAGTAAGACAGTAAAAAACCATGACAATAGATAAATGTCATAGTGATTATTAAAATATTTTCAAACATTATTTAAATATTAAGAATAAAAAATAAAACACTATACTAGATTTGTATAATTAGCGTTAANTTTTCTTTAAAACATCAAAAATAAAAACTAGTAAGGCAATATTATAATAGTTATGTTTATATATAAATATATACATATATTGTTGTATACGTATTTCAAAATTTAACAAAATAATGATACTAACAAATAATGTGTGTGTGTGTATGAAAAGATAAGTAGAATGAGACACAAACAATTATTCTATATGATTTTGAAGCAGTTACGCTAGATTTTATTTTATAGGGTTACGCTCAAAAATGTTCTTCCGTCAAAGATATATTTATGGTTTTGACAAGAAGTGTTTAATGGTAATACTGGACTAATACGTAACAGCCAGCTTATTTTGTNTGATAACATGTTGCAATCTAGTATCAATTAAGCCGTTTGTTGAAAAAATTTGAATATTGCTTTGAAGTTTTTTATACTTAATAGTATATTATATAGTCTTCTGGAAAACAGAGTATGTATTAAAATTGAAGCTGTCGCAAAGCCATGAAAATCGCGACAGGCGCGGCGCGAGATCAGAAAGCGCGGCGCGCTGTGATCTCGCGCCACGAATGCAGCAAAGAAAAATGATTACCGATAAAGATAAAAAATCGGTCAATACTAGNCTGCAACAAGTTATCGACCAAAACAGTTAAGTCAAAGGTGTTAGAAACGGTTATTTTCAGAACCACACATTTATTTAACAAAAAGAATATCTCTCGCGTTTATCGGAACTACGCTTAATGGCTTTTTTCAGAGCCACAAAAAATATTTTACAGAGTCACATTAAACGGTTCTTGTCAGAACCATAAATATATCTTTGACGAAAGAACATTTTTGTGTGAGCGCAACCCTATAAAATAAAATCTAGCGTAACTGCTTCAAAATCATATAGAATAATTGTTTGTGTCATTCTTCTTATCTTTTCATACACACACACATTATTTGTTAGTATCATTATTTTGTTAAATTTTGAAATACGTATACAACAATATATGTATATATTTATATATAAACATTATAATATTGCTTTACTAGTTTTTATTTTTGATGTTTTAAAGAAAATTTAACGCTAATTATACAAATCTAGTATAGTGTTTTATTTTTTATTCTTAATATTTAAATAATGTTTGAAAATATTTTAATAATCACTATGACATTTATCTATTGTCATGGTTTTTTACTGTCTTACTTAAATATATTTTACTTTCTTACACTTACCGTAAGTAAGTTTCTTATATCACGTAAAATTATATCACGTAATAATTAAATAAATAAATATTTGATATAAATTATTGAAGTCATTTTCAATGCAGAGTTACTCTTTTCAATGTTCACGATAGTTTTATGATAACATATGCTTGTCGGTATTATTGGTAACCGCGTCGGTATGTATCATCGATAACCGTGTCGACATATAGATTAAATCTCGGGCCGCTGGCGCGTGATAGTAGGAGGCGGCCGGAGGAGAACTACTTCTCCTCATGGCGCACGATATGGTGCTCCGCACTGTACGTACACACAATACATACATACACACCGTAGGCCACGCGTCAGCATGAAAGAGAGATCGAATAGAAAATCCGTGTGTGTGTGTGTATGTGTGTGCCGCGTATGACGAGCCTCTGTGGGAAAGAAGAAAGAAAGAAGAAAGAAGAAGAGAGGAAGGAAAGGATCAGGTGACACGATTTCGCATTGTCATCGTTATCGTGACTAGGCACGGCCTTTTAAACGTAAAAAAAAAAAAAAAAACAAAATGCTGATGTTTCTTTTTGAAGTGTCATCAAAACGCGCCGGTATCAGTGCCTCGAAAAATATTGCCGAACAGCAAAGCAGTAAGTATCGTTTTTTAAGTGAAAGAACTCGAGTGGCTTCTCTCTGTTTAAATATCGATTTATTTTCGTCCTATTTTCGTTTTATTGTTTTTACAAGTGTCTCTTATTTTCTTTCTTTTTTTTTATTATCTCGTTCACTTTTCTGTTTCTTCGTTTTTGGATTCGTTTTTTGGATTCGTTTTTTGGACAAATAAAAATTTTTTTTGTGCTTTTCTTTTTTTTTTTTTTGGTCTTCTCTTCTTTTCGCTTTTTCATATTACCGTTTTACAATCAGCTGATTGAGCAACGCGCGGGTGTAACCAAGGAGAGAAGGTCGCTGCACTTTCCGAGATAATATTTGAAAATTACCGCGGGAACAAGGCAAAGAAGGGGGGGGGGGGGAATGCAGGTGTTGTTGTAGTGATCTATGAACGATTGAGACGGAATGCGTGGCTGGAAAACAGGCGCGCGACGCACGCAAGAGCAAGAAGACCAAACACTAAAAATATTTCAGGCATGTGTTAAATAGCGCGTTTTAAACACCGACGGTGTGTGTGTTATCAGTTTAATCGTCACCCGTAAATGATGCGTATCCGTACCTGGTTTGTGTTGTTCGGCGCGCGAGAGATGCTAAAATAGCATCGCGTATAGTTTACATTTACACGAGAGTCAAAAAACTCGTATCTGTAAGATAAACGTGACGCACATAGTGATCATAATAACATCAATAATGAGATCGCGCGATTACATCACACGCAGTGCGCAAGAACTCTGATTTGTGCTTATTTATGTCCGCATAAATAGTGACTTATATATTATCTTCGTTAATCGCGTATAATTTGGACTTTTGATTCTTTCACCGCGTGTATGTTTCTCTTTTTTTTTCTCTCTCTCTCTCTCTAGGAGGATAGTGTTTGCTTGTACGCGAGTTGATTCATTGGTCGCGAATTAGCCGACCCTGAATTCTCGTTTGTATCGCCTCGAGCCGAGAGGAGAAACAAAACTCTTTGCGATGACGCGACTAACTTTCCAAGTCGCGAATAAAACTGTCTTAAAACTGTTTCTTCGTGAGAGAAATAATGGAGAAAAAAAAATTTTATTATCCGCGAATTTTGTCTCGCCGACTTGTGTTCTTGTTGTGTTGTGTGTTTTTTCTTTTTCTTCGAAAAAACATTTTAATTACCCGTTGTATTCAAGCTTTTTGTTTTCCATCACACCTTGTATATGAAACTTGTGTATTCGATAACAGGCCACTTGCACTTCATACCGTGCATTATAATTACCGACGTAATTACGTACGTCATAAACGGAATATTATGCTTCCGTTCGCGCGTTCGTACCAAAGTCAACATTTTTACGGTCACATAGATTTCTCGCTTGTTTTTTTTCTCGGAGAACCGTCATTCATTCCAATCGGTTTTATCCTGTTTTGCTAATGCAATACGTCTCTTTTTTTTTTTTTTCTCACTTCGTTGTATATTTCATCATTAATAATGTTAAATCACACAAGAAGTGTCGTATATAGTCTTAATTTATTATTACTAACACACATGTAATTATTTAGAGCTTATTTAGCACTTTGTTTGTCTGATTTTCAACAAATCTTGCGTTGCGATATTTTTTGCAATTCAAATATTTACATTGATGAATATTTATATTGACTTTTTGTTTTATGCATCTTCATTTCTTAGCGGATGCATATTTTTTCGACATTTGTTTATTGAGCGTGTCATCCGATCAAATTTCTCAATTTTGTGCCGGCGTGTGTCTCTGTCATTGTAGATCAAATATCACCTCTATTTATGAATGGAAATTGTTTATAGAGAGCTATTAGCAGCAACAGGCCCTCTCTGTTTCTAATAATCATAAGCACTACCGTCCCCTGTAGCCCCACTCGCGGAAATTTTTGACACGCTGTAGCGCGCACGTAAGACGTATTTCGGTCGATGATCATCATCACAGATCCTTCACAAATCCATCGTTTTACATAAATATGATTTCAACTCGGATAGATGTGTGATTGAATGTTTTTTTTTTTTTTTTTTTTTTTTGTTTCAATTTCCTTTTGTTTTCGTTTCAACCTCCTTTGTGCCTTGCGTAACAAATAAAAGAGAAAAACACAAGAAGTTTACACAAAAGAAAACCCGAGTTAGTCGTCACTAATACGCGACGCAGAACGCGTATGCAGAAAAGACGTCATCGATGAAGTGTACATGTCATTCCGATTGAAAATCAAGACGGAAATGTAAATGCAAATATGCGAAAGGTTAAAAATAATTTTTCCAGAATAGGGTCGTATTCGAACGGGGCTGACTGGTTCTCCTTGATGACGATTAAGAAACAAATGAGGGGTGAAGGGGGGAGGGGGAAGCTTACATTTTTTCGTGATGCAAGCAGAGCACGATGCTGACCAGAGTGCCCAAAACGAGGAGCAGAACGCTCGGTATGAAGACCAGGATGGCAATTTCCTCGAAGTAATTCCTCGTGGGTACGCCACTCTTGGTCGAACGGGCCCAATGCCACGCCGTGTGCTCGGACAGGCCCGACGACGGCAGACCCACGACGCTCGTACTGGGACCTTGCCGTGCACTTTCATGCTGAGGACTTTGCTGATCGTTCTCGAGCTGCGGAACAATTATATATCTTCGTCGTAGACGAAAAGAATTGCACAAAGAAATAGCACAGAAGTATAGTTACTATAGTAACGCAGGGAAATCGTCATGTTTTCTTAAATTCAATTGATTGAACCCGAGTCGAAATTTAAACCCCATTTTACAGGAAAAAAGGAAATTTCGGACGTACAGCAGCGTCAAAGTAGGATCTACTTTCTCTCTTACTCCTACATAAAAAAAGAAACATTGAGGTCCAATGTAGACGCTAAATTTCGACTCGGGAAGCGTAAATGATTTAAAAATGACAAATGTGCGGGGAATACGCATTTAAAATTGTATAGTATATTTTTCAAGTTTCGCAATTTTATTTAAATATATTTACACTGAGAAAAAAAAGTTGTTGAAGTAACAAAATAGTATTTGCTTCAACTATATGCAGCGGTCACGGGCTGTCAATGAAATATTGATTAATGTAAAAAGATATTATGTTTCAATAGATATAATAATTAGGTTATACCGAAAGACAATTTATAGTTATTTTAACAAAATTATAATTTGCTTAAATACAGATAACTTTGAATGTACAACACAATAGGACAACACAATATTTTGTCTGTTTATAAAAATAACCAGTTTGATTAGATGAAAAAAATACTTAGTACAAAGAAATTCAGATTATATTCAATTAAAGTAAATAAGAAGTGCCTATTTCATCTTTCTTAACAATATCTTTTATTTGAAATTATCACAACTTATGTTCGACAAAACAATTCATGGTTTAGTGAATTAAATATGTTCATTACCACTATTGTTAATTCAACGTATACGAATTTATTATCTTTATTACCATATGCTTGAATTGAAAACACAAGTATTTCAGATAACAAACTGAAACTCAATTAAACGCATTTAGTTGAGTTAATAGCATTTTTTCTCAGTGTAGTTATTTATGTTTTCGAAATAATTCAGAAATTTTGATTTAAAACATAATTTTAATAAGATACTATAGTAGTTTTATTTACAAGTTTAATTTCAAAATTACTTTTTTTTACGATTACGCGTATAGTTTTTAATATTTGACAATCTAATTTTTGACAATCGATTGAATTTAAAACTCAAGGTCGATGCGCACAAACGCGAAACGCGACTTCCCGAAGAAAATACGTTTGAATCAAGTGCATCCTACGTGAGAATCAATCGATTAGAGAGATGAGTCTGCGGAAATCTGGCAATTACCACGTAAATTAAGGATGATTGTGTGCGATGACTGACAACGTCCAGGAAAAAATACATGTTGACGTTAGAGAATCGAGTAAAGTGATACATTGTCTTGTGTCTTGGAAATTTGCGGAGTTCGTGAGAATGAAAATGATGATGATTGCACCACCGGTTTAGTTTGACACGACAATGCAGATAATTGCGTAAGTTTTTTTTTTTTTTTTTTTTTTTTTGAAACGCAAGCGTGAGAAACGCGAACGTTGTTAAAAAGTGCGAGACAGGCAAGTTTTTTTTTTCACCAAAAGTGCGAGAATTCACTTGACGGACTTTATGGCGTTGCTAATTGTCTGAAGTTTCGCGCGATGTTGGTTTTTAATCGACCGACTTACTAATCTGAAGGAGCACCAATCCAATGTGAACTCGGCCTCGCGGAAGAGTATCTCCACGCTGGTCCTCTTGAAATCTCGGGGACAGGATGGCATTTTCCACAACGGTTTCACCTCTTCCTGCAATTCGTTTAGTTCCTGCGAAAACGGCGTCGTGCTGCCCAATCTCACGACAACGCTGAAACAAAAAAAAAAAACAAACAAACAACTCTTTATTTCTTTTTCTCTGAAATGACGTTAAATGTTTGGCGAAATGACGACGAGAGATAGAGAGAAAAAGATATTGTTGTGTGTCACACACTTGCGTGAAACAAAGAGCCCCGCAATACATTATGGGGGAACTTGGACTCGACTTCTGATCGTACGAATCATATCGCGATATTCACTTCGGTACTTGCGTCATTCCCGTCAAGGATTCCTTTAACTAGCGCTCGTGGGACTTTTGCTCGCTTGCATTAACAATAAACGCGGTAAACGGCTGTCCAATGTGCCTTGTAAATCGTCGTGCGATATATCGCTGTTCGCTATTTAAAAGACTACTTCAAACAGCCTGTGTTTCGCCGATGGTTACGCAAATATTGAACTTCGAACATGACCTATCCCACTTGCTTTTTATAAGAGAATATTTATTGCATCGGAATCTCGCAACTTTTCTTTAATAAGCAGCTTGTCACATTCGTTTAATCTTTTCTAATCGCAATATCGCGCATATTCATCGTCTCGAACAAATTATAAATCACAAAATTCACGTGAGAATTTTAATTACAATCTCCCGTTGACTTCAATCTCTTCTATTTGTCGCTCACGGAATTACGTAATTGTTACTTTGTGATATATATATATA